AGTGGTTGTGAATAGATATGTCCTTAAAATAAAATTTTAAAAAATGAACAGAAAATTCTATGTTCCCAACACTGTTCTGGGCACTGATGTGATGAAATAGCAAATAAAAACACAAATAAATTTCCTGAGTTCATGAACCTTATATTCTAGTGGGAAGAAGAAAAATAGTAAATAAGAAAGCCAATAGAGAAAAGGAGAATTGGGGACGGTGGTAAGAGGTGGGAGGAAGGAAAGCAGCTAGTAGGTCAGAGAGTGACAGGGCATGATGGGCTGTGTTCACCAGTGGGGAGGGGGGTCTCTGAGGGAGGCTCTGAGGCAAAGACTAAAAGTTGAGATTGGAAGGTGAGAGGAGCCAGGGATGCCTACCCCCTGGAGAGGAGCGCTCCAAGCATCTTTGCTGAGTGCCAATTACCCACCAGGAACTAGCACTTGCACTGAGCCTAGGGTTGCAAAGATTGATTTGATATAGCCCTCGCCTCTGAAAAGGTCATTTTCTAATTAATATTCATAAATAATTAAAACATTTTAATGTAAGGGATTTGGGTACTTTATTGACCTCTTGATGTGACTAATTGTTCAAAAAGATTAACAGATAACATCTTTATTGAATACCTGCTGTGTGCCAGGCCTTCTTCAAAGCAATTTTCATAGATTTCTAGACTATATATGGCAGGTTTCATGATGATAATGGCTATATTATGACTATTTAATAGTTAAAAAGGCAGAGAATAGGTAATTTCCCCAAATCAGTTAGCAAGTGAGAAAGGCAGAAATTAAACCTTGTAGTCTGATGCCAAACTCTAGACCTTTTTTATTATACTGAAACTACTCTTTTTTTAAAATTTTTTTAAATGTTTTTTATTTATTTTTGAGACAGAGAGAGACAGAGCATGAGCGGGGTAAGGGCAGAGAGAGAGAGGGACACAGAATCCGAAGCAGGCTACAGGCTCTGAGCTGTCAGCACAGAGCCTGATGTGGGGCTCGAACCCACAAACTGTGAGATCATGATCTGAGCTAAAGATGGACACTTAACCAACTGAGCCACCCAGGTGCCCCTATTCCTTTCTTTTTTTAAATGTTTATTTATTTTAGAGAGAGAAGGAGGCAGAGCATGAGCAGGGAAGGAGTAGAGAGAGAGAGGGAGACAATGAATCCCTATTAGGCTCCAGGCTCTGAGCTGTCAGCATAGATCTGACGCAGGGCTACAACTCATGAACTGTGAGATCATGACCTGAGCCGAAGCTGGATGCTTAACCGACTGAGTCACCCAGGCGCCCCTATACTGAAACTACTTCTTATAGTATTCTTAAAAAGGTTTTCCTATACAGAGTTCAGAGGTCAATATATTTTAAAAAAAGGTTACTCTTTTTATTTTGTGTGGGAGTCCGACAGTGACCACAAGAAAGCGTGGTTAGGGACGCGGGGATGTGCCTGCACACGGGGCTCCCTGCCTGGGCAAAGCATGCCTGCAAACAGGGTGCTCTGCCAGGAGGCCTGCACACAATATCCAAGTTGACTGGTCTGCTCGCAAACGAGGGAACATGCCCTCCTTAGAAGTACGGAGAAGGCTGGAGTTGTGGGCAGGCCTCTTAGTAAACATGTTGTGGTCACTTCCTCCCTTTGCTCCCCCCTGTCCTTGAAATGTGTTTGGCTACTTGCCCTTAATTGGTAAAGGAATGCATCTTGTAGATTTCAGTTTGTATCCAGTTACCGGGGTATAAAATAAACCGCAAGAGGGGCGTGCGTAGAATTGTTCCTCCGGCCGGAGTTGTGTCTGTGTCTGTCTTTTGTGTGTGTCTTGTCCTTTGTGTCATTTCGTCCGCAACATTTTATAACTATAAATATTTTTCTATGCCAATATTCAGTTCAATTATTTTACAAATGGGAAGTCATATATTCTATACTAAAATAATTTATAACTTCAAAAAAATAGCAAAAAATAATAAAAAGATATATGAAATAAAGCTCATATTTTAATTGTTAGGCTTAATAGATGTACAATTATTCTTCAAAATTGTTATAATGCTTTCTATACTCTTCTTCTCAACTTCTTGTGCATATCTGTTGTGGATTAGTGAACATTGTGGACAATACTTGAGGGACACTACTTTAGACTTCTCTCAGGAAGAACTAAGGAAATAAAGTGATTTTATTTTTTATTTTTTAAATTTGATTTTTTGAGAGAGAGAGAGAGCACGTGAATAGGAACGGGGCAGAGAGAGAGGAAGACAGAGGATCCGAAGTAGGCTCCTGAGGCTATCGGCATAAAGCCTGATTCGGTACTCATACTCACAAACCTTGAGATCATGACCTGAGCAGAAGTGGGACGCTTAACAAGTCAGATACTTAACTGACTGAGCCACCCCAGGAAATGAAGAAATTTTATTTATTTATTTTTTTAATTTTTTAAATTAAAAAAAATTTTTTTTTAAATTTTTGAGAGTCAGAGAGAGACAGCGTGAGCAGGGGAGGGTCAGAGAGAGAGAGAGATACAGAATGCAGACACAGGCTCTAGACTCTGAGCTAGCTGTTAGCACAGAGCCCGATGCAGGGCTCAAACCCACGAACTGTGAGATCATGACCTGAGCCAAAGTCGGACGCTTAACTGACTGAGCCACCCAGGTGCCCCAAAGAGATTTTAAAACAATAGGAAGCAAAAGCAAAAAGCATTCCAATTATGAGAGTCTATTTCTGAGAAAAAAGGGCAGCAATAGCATTTGGATATAGGGAGGAGACTGGCTTTTCTTAGGATTTAAGTAAGGAACAACAATGATCCCTAATTTTGAGTTAGTCACCCATCTGAGACTTCTTGGGCCACACGTTCAAGAATAACACACTAACTTTATGTTGAATTCTGCTATAAATAGAAGGAGAATACTAACTGGACAAATTGGGATGATAATAGTATGTATGATGTATCAAAGGCTTTGAAAAGCAGAGAGACGTCTGCTTTATAATATTCTAAGATGGAAGTTGTGTGTGAAACAATTTTGTTGAGGTTAAACTGACATAAAATAAACTGCAAATGTTTGAAGTGCGGTATGGAGGAGACTGAGAGCCAGAGTCTTACAGGTAGGGTACAACAGCCCCAGTCAGCAGAGGACTGGGCTGCTAGCCATGTGGCCAAAACAGGTAGGATCAAAACAGGATCAACCATTGGACAGATCACGCCATTGGAGGGATGTGGCTGATTCTGTTGAAGCAGTCATAAGCAGGGAGCACCTACTTTTAAATTTTTATTTTACTTTATTTTATTTTATTTTTTTAAACGTTTTACCTTAATTCCAGTATAGTTAACATACAGTGTTTTATTAGTTTCAGGTATACAATATATGATTCAACAATTCTATACATTACTCAGTGCTCATCATGATTAGCGTAGTCATAATCTCCTTCACTTATTTCACCCATCACCCATACCCTTCCCCTCTGGTAACCACCAGTTGGTTCTCTCTGTACTTTGGAATCTATTTCTTGTGCCACCTGGGTGGCTCAGTCAGTTAAGCCTCAGACTTCAGCTCAGGTCATGATCTCATGGTTTGTGGGTTCAAGCCCTGTGTCACGCTCCATGCTGACAGCTCAAAGTCTGAAGCCTGCTTTGGACTCTGTGTCTCCCTTTGTCGTTTTGCTACTCCTCTGCTAGCATTCTCTCTCTCTGTCTCTCAAAAATAAATAAACATTATTTAGAGTTACTCACTGCTAGATCTTTAAGTTAAACAGGGTACCAGTGCCTTTGTAAATTTTATCTCAAGTTTCTGGATTGATAGCACCATGAAGAAGAAAAAGTTCTGGGAGGGTTGTTGAGCCAAATGAGGAAAAGGGCTCTTATATGTTCTTTTTTTTCTGGTGTTTGCTGGTTGTTAAATTCTTGTTATTTTACAAAATAAAAGTGGTTCTGCAAACACACACACACAAAATAAATAAATAAACATTAAATTTTTTTAAAAAAGAGTTTATTTCTTGGTTTGTCTCTCTTGCTCTCTTTTTTTTCTTTGCTCATTGTTTTGTTTCTTAAAGTCCACATATGAGTAAAATCATATGGTATTTATCTTTCTCTGACTGACTTATTTCACTTAGCATAATACTCTCTTAACTCTATCCACGTTGTTACAAATGGCAAGATTTCCTTCCTTTTTATATACCTTCGTTACCCATTCACCTACCCATTACTTAGGCTCTTTCCATAATTTTGCTATTGTAAATAATGCTGCTATTAACATAGGGGTGCATATATCCCTTTGAATTAGTGTTTTGGTACTTTGGGGGTAAATACCCAGTAGTGCAATTTCCTGGATGGTAGAGTAGTTCTATTTTTAACTTTTTGAGGAATCTCCACACTGTTTTCCACAGTGGCTACACCAGTTTGCAAAATTTGAGGATGTACCCAAAAGACTCAGAAATAGAGATAGACAATATTTAAATTTAGAGATTAAATAATAACATTAATTAAAATAATCTATGCCAGGGACACCTGGGTGTCTCAGTTGGCTGAACACCCTACTTCTGCTCAGGTCATGATCTCATGGTTCATGAGTTTGAGCCCCACATCAGGCTCACTATTGTTGGCCTGTCAGCACAAAACCTACTTCAGATCCTCTGTCCTCCTCTGTCTGCCTCTCCCCTGCTTGAACTCTCCAAAAACTAAACAAATAAAATAACCTATGACAAACAGAATATCAAAAATTTAAATGAAGACAATGTCATATTGAGCTCTATTGGAGCTTGAGGTAAAGGGAAAAATGTGCCCCCTATATCTATGTTTTTATCTATTTTTTAATGACTAGTATTTCTCAGAATATTAAAGCAGTTGAAAAAATATTGAAAAAATTGAAAAGTATGTGTATTAAAATTTAAAATATTATTTTAAATATAAATATTTTATTTACACTAAAAATAACTTATTATAATCTAGCTGTAATGGAAGCAGGCTCATCAATAATATTTTAAAAATCTAATTCTGGACCTTGCAGACACCACAGAGCCACCAGTGCCACCCAGCCATGGTCAACCCAATCGTGTTCTTTGACATCACCATGGATTCCAAGCCCTTGGGCCACATATCCTTCAAGCTGTTTGCAGACAAAGTTCCAAAGACAGCAGAGAACTCTTATGCTCTGAGCATGGAGGAGAAAGGATTTGGTTATAACTTTTCCTGCTTTCACAGGATCATTCCAAGATTTCTGTGCCAGGGTAGTGACTTCACATGCCATAATGGCACTGGCGGTAAGTCCATTTACAGGGAGAAATTAGATGATGAAAATTTCATCTTGAAGCACATGGGTCCAGGCACCTTGTTCATGGCAAATGCAGGACCTAACATAAACAATTTCCAGTTTTTCATCTGCACTTCTGAGACTGAGTGGTTGGATGGTAACCATGTGGTCTTTTGCAAGGTGAAAGAGGGCATGAATAGTATAGAAGCCATGGAACATCTGGGGTCCAGGAATGGCAAGACTAGCAAGAAGATCACCATTGCTGACTGTGCACAGATCTAATAAATTTGACTTGGGTTTTATCTTAACCAGCAGACCATTCCTTCTGTAGCTCAGGAGAGGACCCCTCCCCCACTATCTGCTTGAACTTCTCTGTAACCTCTGTGCTCTTACTGCAGCTCTATGGGTTCCATACTTTCCTAACTCCCCTCCAAATCTAGCTGGACTGCAGAGTTAAGTTTGTGATTATGAAATAAAAACTAAACAATGATAACAAAAGATAAAAATCTATTTCTGGAAAAAACATAGACATTAAAATATATAAAAATATGGATAAATGAGGGGGGCATACTTTTCCTTTTGCTTCAGGTTACAACATGTTTCAGAACAGAATACTTTCTGAGAATAAAGCCACATGAAGAAAAACAAAGCAGGGAGATGTCAGGGAAAGGAGAGAGGTGAAGAGGCAGAAAGAAAGCCACAGAAAGGTTAGCATCCTTTGTACATGTGCGTCTGACTGTATCAGTAGCTCGGTCTGTATCTGCACTTCTCAGCTATGTGTGCATTAGTTTATGCTGTTGTCGTTGTGTGATTTGTGTTCTGTCTCTTGAAATTCAAAAGCTATGTTTAATCAGGGGCTTTGTCTTAAGTTGGGTTCCTGAAGCAGACCCTGAGATATATGCTAGTTCAAGAGGTTTCCTTGGTAGGGGATCCCCAGAAAATACCAGGGGAGAATGAGAATGTGAGAGGGAGAGGGAAGGGAGGGGATAAAAGGAAGCTTTGTGAAGCAGTGTGTCACTTGAAGAACTTGAAGGTCTCTGGGGCTCTATGCAACATATCTCAAAATTCCCTCACCCCACCCCAAGTGGTGTAGCTGTAGCTCCCATCTGCCATTAGCTCCTAAGGGCTCTGACCCCCTGGCATTTAAGTCTGCCTCTTGCTTGGGTCAAGAGAAAGATGTTAAACAGAGACTCTTAGGTGTTTGCAGTAGAAGTCTGACAACCCACGTGTACTGGAAAGATGGCATTTGGGACTATGCTGAGAACACCTACGATGCCTACCACAGTCTTGAAGGATGAATACATTTACTAAAGGTACATAGAACAAAGTCTCCCTCCTTACAGGCCAAAGTGGGAAGCTGGTGATATATAGTGGAAAGCTCCCAGAATGTGGAGTTGGAAAAAGCAGACTTGAAGGTTATCTGCAGACCTTACTGGTTATGTGGATTGGACAAATCTCTTAATGTCTTTGATTCATCCGTATGTTTCCTCATCTGTGGAATGAGTAGAATGATAATAAAACCAACTTCAGAGCAATGCAAGGAGGATCAAATGAGGTAAAGAATGGATGAGAAATGCCTTTAAACAATTGATTTTAATTTTTTCTATTGGGGAGTCTTAGGAAAGAAGTTTCCATGATGTAGGGTATTCAAAAATTACTCGGAGAACTTATTAAAAATAGAGTGACATCTAGAGCTTCTGATTCAAGGCACCTAGTGTGTGACCCTAGATGCATTGTTTAAAAGTTGCTCTGTAAGACCAAAACATGTGGCTTGTGGGCCATACCTTGGGAAACGCTGTAACCAGACAAAATATATGAAAGGAGAAAGCAACCAGCTGTGACTGAAAGATAGGCCTGGGCAAGGAGCTGAAGGTCATGCAGGCAACTAAAGGGAACTTGGGTTTACCCTGTGAGCAAAGAAGCAACATGTCAAAGGCTTTAAAATAGGGGAGGAGCACCTGGGTGGCTCAGTCAGTTAAGTGTCCAACTCTTAGTTTCGACTCAGGTCTTGGTCTCATGTTTCATGAGATGGAGCCCTGTGTCAGGCTCTGTGCTGACAATGCAGAGCCTACTTGGGATTCTCTCTCTTCTCTCCCTGCCCCTCCCCAGCTTGCGCTCTCGCGCTCTCTCTCTCTCTCTCTCTCTCCCTCTTTCTCTCTCTCAGTAAACAAACATTTAAAAAATATTAAAATAAAGGAGTAAAATGATTAATACCACACAGGAGAGAAATGCCTTTGGCTGTGGCGCTGAGAATAGATTAAGGGAGGGTAGCAAGGTGAGGACTGAGAAAACAAGAGTGGGGAGGCTGGTAGGAAATGAGACTGGGAACTGGGGGAATCAACGTGAGAATAGGAGACATGGGTGTTGGGAAACAAATGCTAATAACAAATTTTAAGAGAAAAAGCAGAACACCAAAATGTATACGCATACTGTATGTTCCTATTATGCTTATACATTTGTGTGTATGTACGTATAAACACACACACACAGACACACACATTTACACAGAAAAAAGCAAAGGAAATGCAACCAAATGTTAATGCTTATCTCTGGATAGTAAATTACAGTGGAGATTTTAAGGCTTGTTTTAAAAACACATCTTTTCTCCCATAATAAACATGTATTACTTTTATGATTATATAAAAAAGACTATAAAGAAAGAAAGAGGAAACACTTCATTATAAAACAATATCATAGGAATGACTGAGGAACAGCCAAAGCAGAAAATCGACAAAAGAATAAGCCATTCTTCTGGAGGACTTAGAAGCAAATTCTGGTGAACCCTTTGGCACTATTAGTTAACTGTGATGTGCCTATTTAGGTTTCTTTTCAGCTACTACTATTACCTCATATGCCTTTAAAATATAATTAAATAAGTTACTGCAGGTTGATTGATGGCTTAAATCTTGCTCACTTGCAAAATGGGTAGAACTTGGGAACTATGTATATATTGCACATTCAAGGGGTGAAATGCTTTTCTGTTTCTTTAATGATTTTTAACTTTAAGGTAGAGTAGGATACGCACAAGGGAAGAAAAAACAATCCATAGTTTTCAGAACTGACAAGAAAATGTGTAAGGCTTAGTAAAAATCATGCCAAGAAGCATGGTATGGTAATATATCTAAGAAAATCCAATATATCAAGCTGTTCTTAGATTAGCATATGTTAATTTGGGTTGACTGAAACTTGATGGTTGGCTGGAAGTGTAAAAGAGTAAATATAATTGATGACCGCAAAATTGGGAGTAACATAGCATGGAGCATTCAGGATTGGCAATTTTTCTACTTTTAATGAGCTTCTAATGAAGCTCTCACATTCATACTGCCACGTTATGGAGGAGGTCCAAAGGTTCCCTGGGCTCCCAAAAGCAGCTGATAGCCCTTAAAAATCCTCACAGGGCCTTTCTGTTGACATCCAATACAAGGGAGCCAAGATAACTTTAAAGAGAAAAGTCAGGCTGGGTTCAAATAGGTAAAGGACTAGTTACCTCACAATGTTAACAAAGGGTTCAAAGAGGGATTTTCATGAAAAGCTAGTTTTAGCAGGGGCATCATCATGGTCGAGGAGGATAAGAGGGCTTGTGCTTTGTCCACTGTCATTTCAAGCAAAACAAATGGGCCCCGAAAACTTCCCAGGAAAGTCTGGTGCATATTTAAGCAAAGGTTGTAAATAGAATTGCAGGGCACAGTTTATATTCTAGGGAATACTGGGACCTGGGTAGAAATTTGAACAAAGCAATAAGAAAAAACAAGCCGATCTCAAGTCAATACAGTGGAAACACTTGCTATTTGCTGTTTCCTGCCCAAGAGGTCAAAATGTCTCCATATAGTCTTGTCCAGGAAAAGTGATACTTAACTCCAATGATTCCTGCTTTATGGACTATGGACTTCTAAGGAACTATGGATTTTGCAAGGTGACTCATACACGTAGATACACAAGTCTTAGATAAGAAGATATAAGAATGTAGAATTACCTGCAAAGACCACTGGCATTTCTTCTCACCTATATTTATATACCTACTACTATTTTTCAAATGTATGTCAATTTTATTTAAATTAATTCTTAGCAACTTTGGACATTTGATCTGTTAGCAATAAGCACATACCAAAAATATGTCAACTCTGGTGTGAGAGACTGTGAAAACTGTTGAAATCAAAGGAGCCCTTCCTTGCTCAAAAAAAATTTATGAATGCCTGCTTTAAATAATTTACAATTACCAGTATATGATAGTAAAAGAGTTTCTGGTAATAGCTTAGTGCAGTGGCTCTTGATCTTGGCTGCATGTTCTAACTACCTGGGAGGTTTTAAAAACTTCACTGCCCAGGTCATGTTCAGAATCTGTGAGGTGAGACCTCAGCATCAGAGTGTTTAAAGCATATATATCTCAATTTTAATTTATTTGAAAACTGAAAAGACACACATGGTAAACATTTCTACATATAAGAAAGCATATGCAAAGAAAAGTCACTCTCTTACCTCTTATTCAAACACCTATTATCTTTTCAGACACTACCACTATTACCAGCTTCTGGGCAATGATGCAGAATATCAAAAATTGATATTCTTATTATGATATGAATTTTTAACAATAATCCTTGCCAAACATAGGACAACCTATACTGTACGGATGGATGTAGCATAAAGCCATGATCCCTTGGGTCGCAAAGAAACAAGCTGCTAACCTGAGCAGGATCAGTTGCTTCTATGTTTTGCATAAATCTTCCTTTGCTATATGTTCATTAATTTTGCCATCTGTTAGCTCTCAGTGACAGACAAGCAGTAGTAGACACCAAAGGTTAAGAAATACTTTGGGAGATAAACTTTAGTTTGAGAAAATTCTATCAATTAACTTAATTTTTATGCAAATAAATGCCACTGCCATTGCCTTGAAGAATTTGGAGCTGTGCTTGGGTGGAGAAGGCAGAAAGGACTAGAATAGAGATGGGATGGTTTTTTTCTGGCTCTATGCCTTTAAATATCCAGACCCTAGAAGCACAAAAATCATGTCTCAAGAGTTGTCCAAGATTAATTAGAATTTGTTGTGAAGACCACATCTTTATCTTTTCATTCCTCTTATCTCTGGGTTTCCCCTTTTAACAACCCACTGTCACACCACCCCTTTAAGTCAGGAACAATTGTCCCCAGTGCATCCAGAGTACCTTGCACAGTGGATGGGTTTGGAATGCAAGACCCATACGAGCAGAGGAATCCTAGCAGATCTACTAGCAAAAATGGCTGAACCTCAAGCTTCAGTGAGAAGTGGGTGTGTGCTTGGAAAAAGGGCAAAGGGAGATCTGCAAAAGTTACTAAAGAAAATGTTGTCCCAGGGATTTTTCAAGGAAAGAACAAAAATCAGAAGAGGGAGGTTCAAGTTCCAGTGCTGGTACTATGTATATGGCCTCAAGCTGGACCATACTTTTGCCCTTGAAACTGGGTTGTTTGAAGCCTGGGTTTCCTTAGAGACATATGAGTGGGAGCACTGTGAGAAGTGGCCACATGAGTCAGACTTGGCCATTAGCCCCACTTGTTTCAGAACAGTTTTTGTCTTATCTGGTTGGGATTTCTCCACAAAATCTTATTTGAACTAAGAATTTACTTGCTTTAAATTTGGTTAAATTCCACTAGGCCGATCATTTCTGAGATTTCGTCTGGCTCAAACTTTCTAGGATTCAATAATTTCTACATTTAGGGGCGCCTGGGTGGCTCAGTTGGTTAAGTGTCTGACTTTGGCTCAGGTCATGATCTCATGGTTCGTGGGTTCGAGCCCCTCATCGGGCTCTGTGCTGACTGCCAGCTCAGAGCCTGAAGCCCGTTTCAGATTCTGTATCTCCCTCTCACTCTGACCCTCCCCTGCTCATGCTGTCTCTCTTTCTCAGAAATAAACAAAATATTTAAAATAAAATAAAATAAAATAATTTATAGATGTACAGGCTACAAAATGAATATTTCAGACTCCTGAATTTTAAAATGTATTTCTTCTTTGGCCTAGGAAATGCCACTGAAAACATTACAAAAACATTCTCACGCTGAAATTCTAAAGGCACGTAGGCATAAATGCGTTAATGGCTTTTCATTACTTTCTAAGAAAATCAATAATTCTCTTTTCTGGTTAGATTTGTATAACAGCAAATAGGATTTTCTAGGCTTATGAGTGGCCCACAAAGATTTATCTCTTCCGGTGAAAATTTCCAGTGAAAATCAAAATGTGGAAAATATTTTTCTTCCCCCCCCCAACTTCCCAACAAGTCAAGGAGGAAGCACCACTTTTCTGATAGCGCCCACTTCACTTCATTTAAAGATAAAAAATGAGAGAGACACTATCCTAATAGGAATCAGAGGACTGAGGATTAATTATTTTCCCGGCAGCTGACTCTCCCACCCTGTTGGAGGGCGGGCTCTTCCTCGGGGAGCCCTCCAGCACCACCGCTGATAATGCGCCTTATGCAGAGAAACAGCAGCAGCTGCAGTTGTCACCCTCAATTTTTAAGTTTTCGGGGCCTAAGACTTAGAAAAATTGAGATTCCTGGGCATATTGGGAGGGGCGCTGGACTAGCATCTAACAAACCTGAGTTTTGGTCTTGGTTTCACCATGTGACTTGCCTGAGTCTTGAATTTTTCATCACAGAGATGGGGATGATGATTCACGTTCTCTACTTCTCAAGGGGTCTTCAGGAAACAAGATGCATGAAGGTTCTTCAATGAGGGTCATCTTAGCCTGAGCTACTATAACAATCTTAGAGGGGGAGGGCGCTTAAACAGTAGACATTTACTTCTGACAGTTCTGGAGGTTTGTTAAGTCCAAGATCAAGGTGTCAGCCAATTCAGTTCTTGGTAAGAGTTCTCTTCCTGACTGGCAGATGGCTACCTTCTCATTGTATCCTTAGAGGAGGGAGAGAGGGAGGAAGAAGGGAAGGGGGAGGGAGAAGGGACAGGTGGAAGGTGGGAGGGGTAGGGGGACAGAAACAGCTGGTGGTCTGGTCTCTTCCTCTAGTTACTAATCCCATCATAGAGCCCCACCCTCATGCCCTCATCTAAATCTAATCACCTCTCAAATGTTCCACCTCCGAATACCATCACATTAATGGTTGGTGCTTGATACATGCATGGGGAGGGGCACAGCATTCAGTCCATAACAAGGGTAAAGCACTATAGAAATTAATAAACTATGCATTGGAGAGTATGGAATGATATTATCAGCATTTATTCCAGTCTCTTTCTAGGATGCCTTCCTGGATTGCAGGCCTAGAGGTTAAAAACATTTCTCAGGGTACCTGGGTGGCTCAATCGGTTAAGCATCTGACTCTTGATTTCAGCTCAGGCCATGCTCTCGAGGTTCATGAGTTCGAATCTCATGTTTGTCAGGCTCTCTGTGGACACTGCAGAGCCTACTTGGGATTCTCTCTCTTCCTCTCTTTCTGCCCCTCCCCCACTCTTTCTCTCGCAAAATAAATAAATAAGCTTTAAAAAAAGATACTTCTCAGATGACCTTGCATCTGGTGGTTGTGTGTGTGATTTGGACTTTGCCAGACACATGCATTTATGAGAGATTCAGGTATGGAACTGGGTCGAGCTGTAACAGAAAAGGCATGGTGGAGTGGCAGGCAGCTGGAGGGGCCACCTCCACGTGGGAAAGGCAGTTTTGTGCTTGTGGAGCAAACGGAGGCTGACTTGTCAGCCGGTTCTGTGCTCTGACTTTCTTCCTTGGAAATTCCACTGGTTAGTTCCCTTAGTCCTTCCAGTGATTCTGCAAACCATTTAATAATCAGCTCTAAATCTTACCTTAAACTCACTGGAGTCAGAAGATCTTGTTTTGTCTCCTTAAGTCAGGTGCCAACGACAGATAGGATCTGAGAGTGGTGGAAACAGGCCTCCAAGGTGATGTTCAGATGTTAAAAAATCCTGTGTGGATTAAACAGAGTGTCTCAAGACAGACTGAAGGAGAAGTAGATTGAGGAGCTGATCTTTGGACTAATTTTGGTAAAGGTCCTTGTAAGTCATGCTAAGGACATTATGCTTCTATTCTGTAGCTGACTGAGAGCAACATATTTATGCATGTGTCCTGAGTGATCAACCTGGATAAAGAAGAGTGGCAAGCCATCCCAGAATTTTAGGGGTTTAGAACAAGGGAATGGTTATTTCTCGCTTATTCTTTCTCCATGGCTGATACACTTAAACACCAGTTCAGTTCCACTTGACTTTACTCTAGGACCTACTAATAGTGCACCTTCTTTCTACCTGGAACATTGAAGGTCTTTTGACAAAGGGAGAGAGAAGTTAGAAAACCACATGTGATTTGCACCATGGGTAAACTTGAAGGACATGATGCCAAGTGAAATAAGACGGAGAAAGACAAACCCTGTATGATCTCCCTCATATATGGAATCTTAAAAAGTGGAACTCGTAGCAATGAGAGCTAGGTTGGCAGGAGCTAGGAGAAGGAAAGGGAGGCATGTTGGTTGAAGGATACAGATTTTCAGTTATAAGCTGAATATGTTCTGGGGATCTGACTATAGCTAACAATACTGTATTATATACTTGAAAGTTGCTAAGAGAGTAAATGTTAAGTGTTGTCCCTCTCTCCACCCCCCTACACCCACAATCAATGGTAACAAGAAAGAAAGAAAGAAAGAAAGAAAGAAAGAAAGAAAGAAAGAAAGAAAGAAAGAAAGAAAGAAAAAGAAAACTGCATGCAAGTCCTTATAGCCTCTGCTGGATATGTTACAGGACATTCCCATTCCCATTTGATTAACCAAAGCAACTCACTCAGCCAATCCTGATACCTTTACCCCTCCCTCCAAACAAAGCGATTGGCAGAAACATTTTTTAACAATAATACAATTTGCCATACTCTTGAAAGTTTGCAAAGATGAAATTGTACTGAGCACTCCTTGGCCACCATACATTATGTTGTGGTGGCACCAGAATGGAGTGGGTGACAAGCCAGGAAAGGTCTTTGGCTTCATGGAATTTTTAGGCTAATACTTATGATGTATCATAAGTGTTACAAATACTTTTTCATTATCTAATTAAATCCTCATACTAATATTATCTCTCATTTATACATTAGTAAACTGAGGCTTCCTGAAGTAAAATAATTTGCCGAAGTCTAGACAGAGATGTGGCAGACCAGATCTGAACCCAGGCAGTGTAAGCCCAAACTCCATGTGCTTAGTAGTTAGTCATCACTCAGCTGCAGTAGTCGGGAGGGAGCGTGGTGGAGACCAGGGTGATGCAGAAGAGGGAAGGGTGTCCTGAGCAGATAGCAAATAGTAGATATGAGTAGTGAGAATAGTCTCTAAGAAAAAAATTAAAAAAATAAAAATAAATTAATTAATAAAAAAAAAAAAAAAAAAAAAAGGGAGCGCCTGGGTGGCTTAGTCAGTTAAGCGTCCGACTTTCGCTTAGGTCATGATCTCGCGGTTCGTGGGTTCGAGCCCCGCGTCGGGCTCTGTGCTGACTGCCAGCTCGGAGCCTGGAGCCTGTTTCAGTCTGTGACTCCCTCTCTCTCTGACCCTCCCCTGCTCACGCTGTCTCTCTCTCTCCTAGAAATAAATAAAAATTAAAAAAAAAAAGACAATAGTCTCAGATGAATGAGGACACTTGGTGGATGCGTGAGTGGTTTAACTCCTCCTAAATATTGATAGGGGAAAACCTGTTATAAGATGGCTGACAGGACTGATAGGGAAAATTCCTGTCCCTGACTGAAGACTCTCCTTCCGGGTTCTTCTTCCCACCCTGCTTGTCGCGCCCGCATATTAATGAGGAATCCGGAAGTAACAGACTATAAAATTGTTCCCGCCGCTTATCCTCGGCGCTCAGACCTCTGGAGAACGATCTCTGAGCCGACCGAGCCTGCCGCTTCGTTCTTCCTCCGGGTGATCCAAACCACTTTCCCTGACATTTGGTTCCCTGACCAGGAAACCCAACCGCGCCGGCCCGTTGTTGCCACAGTTTAGGGGAAAACGGCGAGGCGGTGACGCAAGGAGGAATCGCAAAGGAGAAGGTGCACCCTGCCTGAATTTCGGCAGTCTCCAGCTTAGTGGCCCTGGCTGGGCCTGCTCCGCCGTTACCCTCAGATGCGAGGAGACTTGGCAAATGAGGACCCGGAACCCACGTCGGAAACCAGTAAGGCCTGGGCCCTAAATCTGCCCTGTCCTGTCCGGCCCACCCATAATGGTGGAAGAGGGAGCTGATCACGCCCCGGAGACCTCACTGGTCTCACAGGTAGAAATTCTGTGGGAGGAAATGTAATAACCTCAGGTGCGTATGTGAGTGTGAATGTGCGACTCTGCCTGGCTTGCCTGCTGAGTTCAGTTCTGTGGCTGCACAGGTGGGCACCCTTAAGGTCCCCAAAAGTCTGTGGAGTCTGAGTGGGCTCATCTGTGATTTTGTGGTGAATGGCATATAGTCTATGGCAGCATCAGAATAGTTTCTGATCGTTAAGTCACAAAGTTGAGACCGCTCCGGCTAAGTGTCACCTAAGTTCCCTCAGGACACGGCCAGATGGGCATCTGACTGGTCTCATTAGAGGGGGCACCCCTACCCCCTGCTTGTCTTCACGACTTCGCCTCACAGGAACATTATGGGGTTGGGGCTGAGCAAAGAAGGGGTTTTCAGGAGACTATAAAATTAAGATGACCCCAGGCAAATTAAGGTCCCTATGTGGGTTAGAATGGCCCACTTTTGGTGTAGGATGGCCCTCGGAGGGAACCTTAGTGGCCCCACCTGTCTGCCGTGTCTGGCATGTTGTCGCCAGAGCCCCAGATTACCCTATCAGTTCCTGTATATCGACTCCTGGTTAGAGATTGCCAAACCCTTGCCCCTTGGGTGAGATTTGCCTGCAATAAACAGGGACAGGCCAGGGACTTAGTCGCCTCGACAAAGTGGCCCAAGGAAGGTCAACAGAAGTCCCGACATCCACAAAGTCTCGCCGGTGATCTGGAGGAAGCACCAATCTTGCCCCTACCGTATGAAGCCCCTAATTCCTGATACTCTGCCACCATCGATCTCAACACCTCCAGACTTGGCAGATCCTCTCTCCCCTGTACCAGTGCCCAGATTGCGCCCTTGGCCAGGTGCAGGCCCTCTCCAGATGCCGGTCCACAGCCATCGTACCAAGAGGCTCTCCTGTGGAGATCCGAGCAGGGGCTAAGAAGCCCATGAATATGCCCAGCAGCAAGGGGAATCCAGCAGGGATTATTATGAGAGGCTATGCGAGGCTTACACCGCATTTGACCCTGAGGCACAAAAGAGCCACGACAAAAGTATGGGGAAGGTCCAGCCACCAAAATGGAGGAGGCCTAGAACCTCCTTAGCAAGGGGTCAATGAACCTACTGCAAGGAGAAAGGACATTAAAAGAATAAATCAGGGAAAGTCCCAGAAACCCAGCCATTATGCACAAGAACCCTGCAAAAAAGACCTCATAGGCCTAGCAAGAATAGATTTAGATTGAGGGGGACCAGGCTCATTTCTTCCTGGCCCCCATGAACCCACGGTCAAAATAAAAGCAGGGGGCCCAATTAGGACTTTTATATGAATTCAGGGGCCACATGGTAAGGCATGAGTTTCTCCTGCTACTGAGTGCCCTATCCCTCTCCTCGACCCAGATATACTCTCAAAGCTGGGGACCCAAGTAACCTTTGAGCCAACGTAATATACCAGCCCCCAGTTGGATCTAAGTGGAGGCTATGCGGTGCCCAAGCGTAACCGAGTGGCCCACCTGAATTCAGGACTGCCTTCCCCACTGTGTGGGCCGAGGGCAACCCCTCGGGCTTGCCCACAATTGGGCCCCTGTCATTGTAGAGTTAATCCCAGGGGCTCAACCGCAGAGACAGCAGCAATACCACCTCCCACAAGAGTCAAGGGCAGGCATCCAAAAAAGCAAGCATTCTGGTTGAATGCCAAACACCCTGGAATACCCTGCACTTGCCAGTCAAGTCAGGAGCCAGGTACCAACCAGTTCAAGCCTTGTACCCGGTGGTCCAAACCTGTATACCCTCCTCAGTGAGATCCCAGGCTCTGCCAGCTCATTTATGCCTTCTGTCTCCACTTGGTCCCCCAGAGCCAACCCTTGTTTGCATTTGAGTGGACCGAACCAGACACAGGCATCAAAAAAATCTCGCCTGCCCTCTTTGGGGAGGCACTGGCCAGAAACCTTGCAGGCTTTCCAAGGGAGGCCACATACTGCACCCTTGTCCAGCATGTGGATGGCCTCCTCCTTGCCAGCAATACCCAAGAGAATTGTGCAGAAGGCACAAGGGCCCTCCTCCAACTCCTGTTGAGAATGGGGTCTCATGAAAAAAAAAAGACACATCTGCCAACAGCAAGCCTGCTGAGGAAATTGTCTAGCAGACAAAGCAGCCAAGATAGCAGCTAATAAGGAGGTAAATACAGCTCCCTCCCTTATCTGAGCCACCATCCCCACCAGGAGTTCAAAGAAGAAATTGTCCCCCGGTTAGGCTTACCAGCCACAATCTACAGTAATAATAGGTCTGTGTTCATGGTGGACTGCTTACAGGCCTCAAAGCTGAGGAAAAGTACAGCAGATGCTTAGGCTTTCTCGTCACCCAAGGAAAAAGCACTAGGGCCAGAGAGAAGGGTCATCCCCTCCCTATCTCAGCCCCAAACTAAGAGGAAGCTACAAGAATTCCTCGGGGCTGAGAGATTCTGCCGAATCTGGATTCCCAGATTCTCAGCAATAGCAAGACCCCTCTATAACCTCTTGGTCACCCTCGGGGTTCTCACATAGACAGTTGGCCCATGGCAACGGCCAGTAATGTCCCTGTTAAAGATGTTGAACCCAGGGGTGGCAGGATGGCCACCATGCCTTAGGGCACTAGCAACCACAGTTCTGCTCCTTAAGGAGGCAGATAAACTCACCCTGGGACAAGAACTAAATGTCAAGGTCCCTCTGTCTCTTATGCCTCTCCAACTCTCGGCTAGCACAATACCAGGGGCTCCTCTGCAAGAATCCAAGGGTCACTCTTAAAACAGGGCAGACATTGAACCCCACATCTTTCCTACCTTCTGAGGAAGAGAAACCAGATCATGACTGTTCTGAGGTGACCGAGAAAGCATTCGCAAACTGCCCATACCTGCGTAACCAGGCCCTACAGAACCCTGACCTCACCTTGTTCAATAATGGTAGCAGTTTCATCACAGAGGGCATTCAAAAGGCAGGGTATGCAGTGACATACCTTAATCCAAGCCCTCGCCATTAGCTTAGACAAATGAATCAACCTACACCTTTGCTACACATAAACAGGAAAATCTACGAAGAGAGGGGCCTTCTCACCTCAATGGGAAAGACCATCAAAACAAAGAGGAAATACTAAAACTCCTCGTGGCTGTCTGGTTTTGAAGAGAAGTTACAGTTCTACACTGCAAAGGACACAGAAGGGAGACAACCCTGTATGAGGGTATGGATCGCACCCTCAAGGGAAACTTAGCCAAGTTCTGTCAAGAAACAGACCTTCCATGGCCACACCTGTTGCCCCTGGCCCTCCTGTGTGTCCATTGCACACCAGGAACTCAAGGCATAAACTACATAGCAGTGTAAATGGGATGTTTTAGCAAAGTGTATCCCTGAATTGTTAAATTCTTCACACTAAAAGGTAGATTGTCCAGTGCTTGAAAAACATGGCTTTCTTGAGATGGATTCTCACCTAAACAGTTATTTATGGGGTACCTGGGTGGCTCTGTTGGTTAAGTGTCAAGCTCTTGATTTTGGCACAGGTCATGATCTCATGATATGTACAATTGAAACCTGAGTAGGGCTCTGCACTGACAGTAAGGAGCCTGCTCAGTATTCTTTCCTTCCCTCTCTCTGCCCCTCCCCCACTTTCTCTCTGGTGCTCTCTGTCTCTCTCTCTCAAAATAAATAAGCTTTTTTTTTTAAAAAAAAAGAAAGATAGTATAACATCTGACTTGGTGGATCTGGCCGCATGTTTAAAAATAAAAAGAAAAGAGGGGTGTCTGGGTAGCTCAGTCATTTAAGCTTCCGACTCCAGCTTGGGTCATGATCTTGCAGTTTGTGAGTTCAAGCCCCACGTGGGGCTGTGCTGACAGCTCAGAGTCTGGAACCTGTTTCAGATTCTGTGTCTCCCTCTTTCTTTTCCCCTTCTCTGCTTGCCTTCTCTCTCTCAAAAATAAATAAACATTAATTAAAAAAAACATTTATAGTCAATAAGCACCAACACCAGGCTGTTTCAAGAGATGAACACAGACTTGCTTTCTATTCTTGGTGTTGGAGAAAACTGGAGCTACAGGGGTGGGATTCGTGGTCTCGGCACGTATGCTACACAGCTAACTGAAGTGTGGGGCAGATCTCATCCTGAGAGGAAGGGGGCGATCTGCCTTCTCTAACAGGACTAGGTCATCTGACAATCAAGTATCCTTCCAAGAGGTGAGTCTCAGGGCATGAACAAGGTGAGGGAAGTCCTGTCTCTCTCTTTCTCTCTCTCCTTTGGATTGGAAGTACTTTGAAATTGGGGAAGAGGATGGTGAGGCCAAAATTCCAAGGAAAGTACATCTGGGGAGGGGGCATGTTCACTGGTCTCTGCCTGAGGGCTGCAGGTCAGGACCTAAGTGATGAGAACCCACTCAAAGGACATTTTAGTTAGACTGAATCTCTGGAAGCTAGGATTCGTTCTTCGGGTTGGAGTTGCTAAGTTCCAGTCTGTGTTGTGCCTTTGTTCTCCTCCAGTTGACAACCTAGTCCCATCACGGTGTGTGTCTCAGTGTGCTGGGAGGACCACAAGAGCACTGTGAGTTCTCCTAAGGCCACGGGGGATCTCAGCACTGGTCTCCATTACAGGAGAGCTGTGACCAGCAGAGTAGCCATCACATGAGGGCAACAGCAACAGAGGCCCCCGGGAAGGATTGTGCTTTTTTCTAATTCATGTCGAGATGCACATTAGCGTGAGCTAGTGAAAACCCTGCCTTTGCTGGGGAGAACCTCTATCCCTCATCTTGCCCCAAGATCCCTCCTGGGACACTTCTCATTTCCCACCAGGAGAGCAGTCAGCAAGCCTCTTCTATGTCTCCAACTTGTCCTTTCTATACAGGGAAGCCAAAAGGACTCTGGGCTCAGATACTAACTAAATTCCCCAGGGGTACCCGCTGGCACAGCCTGCCTGTTCTAACTGGTGACCCCTAAATCACTCTTTTCCTTTTTCTGTGAATGCCAAGCAAACACCCCCACAAGCAATATGCCTGAAATCTTTTGAACAGCACTTCAAATGGCAAAATAAAATTATAG